GTGAAAACACTCCGCCCTTCGGGCGTCGTGTTTCCACACAATTTCTCGTGTTCTCAATTTCCACTCGTGTTAATATAACTGTATATTAACACGGAAAATGTTTTATATTTGTTAAATACCAACCTGGATATAAGTTCTCGCACTGTAGTGATGTAACATGTTGAGCGACTTCATTTAGTTCTTCTTCCACCCATAAACTTGGTTGTTTCAAATCCACGAGATATACATCAGATCTGGTCGAGGCAATACTTTCAAGAAGCAACTTTGCCCTATGTTTTCGAGAATCGCGTCCGAGGCCTACGATAACCACGCGTACTCCTCGTCGTTTTAGATTATCAATTTGCCTTATTGCCAGTTGTTCATCGTGAAATTCTCCATCGGTATAAACCATTAGTACGTTTTCTGCATCTGAACGGTCACTATTGCTGCTGAAGCCACTCAGAATGACGTTGTCCGAGCTGTTGAACAGCTAGAATGAAAAGTTGCAGAAAAGTGCACATTTTTATCACTGGTCAACCTAGTTTTTACAGCATAAATGTTTGTTTATCACAGCATTTTTTTCACAAGTAATTTCTATTATAAAGTTGTATTTAGGTTCATACAAATAATAATAATTTTTTATCAAATGTTAGTAACTAATATAAGATATTTATCATACCTAGTAATTAGTGAATTATCCTTATGTAAATATAATCCTAGTAATTCAGTTTCTACTGCAAATGGCGCCGGGTTTATTACACTGGCCTGAAGACCAAGTGTCTTAAATCCCTCTTTTTCTGTTTTCTGTTTTCTTCGTCGTCGAGAAATGGAGTTTGCGTTAGCTCATCGCAGGTTCAGGGTGCAACGATTAAACCAAAATGCCATCGATTCCCCTCGGTTCCGTGATTTACATACTGTAGTAACAAGCTCGTATTTATGTACGTAATAGCCGGCTCATTCCATGCTTGTGGTACATTTTTCGTTTATTAGCCCATAACCTTGTACGCACGCGCACAATTCCGAACTCCAAGGATAGAGTGCTCCATTGACATATTCAGTTCAGTTTCAAAATAGCGTTTTTTCACTGAGCGACTAATATATATTTCACACAGTTTCGTTGAATTTTCAAAGAATTGTGCCGGTTTCCTATAGAAAATATGTTGTGTTGCACTCTGGACTCTCTTGCGTGTTGAATTGATGTGTTTTTCTTTGTGTAACGACTCGAAAACCCCAAAATTTGGACCAAGCGTATTTATACAATATAGTGGATTAAGTGGAATGTAAACACGGACAAGTTTAAGGTTTGACAGTTTGACTTTTTAAATAACAAGTATAAATATACGTTGTAGACTCATAAACAAGCGTTGTGCACTTGCGTTCATTTGCATAATTATAGATTTGCACATAATTACATTAGTTTGCGCCAAATTACTTTCCATTTCATCATATATTACTATAAAAATGTATTTTTGTATTGTATTCAGCGAGGTGGCGTTGCGTGCGGCGAAGTCAGTGAAACGTAATACGGTTCAATTTGTTTTTGGAACAAGATTCAACTTCTCCCCCCACTAGCTTTTTTAATTCTCAAATTGTTTGTTAGATGTTTACTGGTTGGGGTTAGAGAAGGGCTTGGGGTTGGGATCAGTTTATCTTATAAATGGAAGCGAATTGGCGTATTTTTTAGAAGAATCGTCTATGTCTATGAACTTTTTACTACCTGAAACTAGCCATATAATGGCATTAAAAATCAAGAACTATATAATTTCTTCGCTGTTGTTGGCCCATCATTATTTACGGTTGATAGTTGATGATCATAGTTACAGTGGGCTTGGCTTGTCAGGTTGAGTTGCCCGTAGCCGGAGGGTACACCTGAACCGGCGCCTTGGTATATTATGGTTGATAGTTGCTGATGATGATTGTATTTATTGGTTGTATTTATATGGTCCAGACCTACACTGTATCCCTATCTACTTCTCTACTGCACATTACACCCTACCACGAAAGTTGCCATTTCCAGGCCAGTGTGAACGCCTGAGCAGGCGTCTTGTTATTAATAAAACGATCTATTTATCCATCTAGCTATCTCCACAATAATCATACCTTGATCGATCGAGCCTTAAAACACGTCTGCACGCGCGTCTTTCGCCACTCGCCTTTTTTATTAAGGACATGCATGTTAAATTTATGTTATGGATTCCGTGCTTTTGATCGGAACAATAAAGTTACCGTTGTTACAAGGCAGGCATTTATATAACATCGCCGAGGAGTGCTATATATTTATCAAGCACCTTTGTTTTCGTCAATGCAAGTAAATGCGATTTGGGTCAGGTCGTTATTGTTTTTCTTGAGCGCCTCCCCTCCTGCATGCTCTTAAGTTCATATTAGAATAGAGACCATAGGCATACGGGCAGAAAAATTATTGCGGGGGGGGGGGGGGGGGGGGGACGACAAAAATTTGCCCGACATTGATTGTGGTTGCCGGACATTAAGTTGGGTTTGTTGATGGATGAATAGAGGGTAAATAGAAGGAAAACATGTGCTGTAAACTCGCGCGGAAATAAGAAAATAAAGTCAATCTTAAAATGGAATAATTTACGAGTACGCCTGGGATTTCATTCTTTAAGATACATTGAAAACTCCCTACTCTACACTGCATGCAATTTAATGAAACAATATCCAATCCATCATTCAGTTTCTGACTAATTATATAAACATATAACAATTATTCGCCGAAGGCGCACGAGGTGATTATCGGGGAATATTCGCCGAGACGAAGTCGAGGTGAATATTCCCCGATAATCACCGAGCCTGAGGCGAATAATTGTTTTAGTATTTTTGTGTTTTTTGGGACTGAATTTATTTTAATTTCGCTTATTTCTTTATCAGTATAACGTCCACAAAACGGCTAGCCGCCATTTTGAAAATTTCGGTTTTGTCATATTCACCTGTAGGCGAATATAGCTAACAGCTTAATACGTCAAATTTGACCAATCAACTTGTAGAATTTGTTATGTTCACTTGTGCAAAAATACTAATAATTAATATCAATATCTCAACTTTAATATCATGACAAAATATGTATTTTGAGAGAATCTGCCCATGGCTAAATACTGGCAGGAGGGGGCCCAGTGGGGGGGGGGGCGCTCAGTCTCCTATCTCGTACGCCTGTATAAGAGATTATGACCCGTAAAATGATTGGTTATATGTAGCTACCGTATGGATTTTCCCGCCTTGCGCATGCGCAGTGGACGCATTTTGGCATGGCAAATAGGGCGGCCATGTTGTTTGTTTTTAGTTTTTGTTTAGTCGTAGAACCAAACGGTTCTAAACGTAACGTAATAGTAAAGGTACAAGTAAAAGTAAACGTAAAATTTGATGATTTTACGTAAGATTTGTATAATGTGACGTTTGTTTCAAATATATGATAATTTTATTCAACATCAGGTGCTATAGTCGGACTATAGTAACAGTTTAGAACCATATTTCTACGAGTTTGGATCGCTATTTGGACTAGTCTATTTGGAGTGTACATTTGTGGCAAGTACAAGTTTATTGGATTGTATTTCTGGAAAGTTTAAGTGTATATTGATCGTCAGAGTCGGAGAATTTGAATTATACGGTATCTTCTCGTTAGGAACGGGTTAGTTTGAGTATATTTTCTCGACAAAGACGGTGTATTCAGGCTTTCTTGCCATCCTACTTTTCCTACTTTTTCCTACTTTTCTTCAACTTTCCTACTTTTCCTATTTTTTATTAAAAATTGCTTGATTTTCCTACTTTTTCCTACTTTTCCTCATAAAATCCTACTTTTTTAAGACAGCTTGGGGAATCAGTATGTTATAGCTCTCGTAATTAGATCTATAGTACCCGTAATTTTTATTCCCTATTTGTGTCCCAGATGATAAGATCTCAGGAGGAGAAGTGCATTTTCCGAGTATAAAATTTCATAGCATCTCTAGAATCATAATAAATTAATGAAGACTCCGAAAGTGCCATTTCCGACGATCTAGAGATTCCAAATATTCAACTCCCTCCTCAGTTAATCAAGCATCATATATACAGGGCCATATCAACCGGGGGGGCTGCAGCCCCCCAATAATTTGCTAATAATAATTTTTTTCAAAATCCAGATGCAGACCTTTATCATTTAATCCATGACAAACTGCAAAGAATAAAGATATTACCCATACTTTCCTGCAACTTATCCAATATATAGTTAATTAAATACGCCTTTGCCCATTTAGTACTACTAAATTGTAAATTTCGACATACTAAAACGCTGTTTTTTGACCATTAGAATTCTGTCAAATCTTCCCCAAAGTCCAGGAAATGGCATTTCAGAGATTCTAAATTTAAAAATTTCCTCGGGCCTTCGGCCCTCGCTTTCAGCCTCCCCTCCCACAATCGAAAAGAGCTTCTTACGGCCCTGATATGTGCTACTGCCGCAGTGTGGATTGGTGCATTGTGTAGCCCAATACATGCATTTGAATTGTGTTGCTGCAGAGCAGATGCCTTAGCTTTTATACCGATGCAATTTAAAAGTTTTGAGAAAAAAATGCTGCATAGGTGAATGAGTACATAAAAATATTGAGCACAAAAAATTTACAAAATTGTGTTATTTGCATCTCCAAAACTCCTACTTTTGTCCTACTTTTCTACACATTTTCCTACTTTATTCCTACTTTTTCTAAAATTCTAGTCCTACTTTTGTCCTACTTTTCTACACAAGGATGCCAGAAAGCCTGAATTGTGAAGTCGGGTGACTAATTAAACAGTACAGTTTGAATGTGTTTTTGTTTGTCATTATGTAGTTGGTTAACCATCCTTATTCTACTTGGTTATATGGCCATGGTGATTGTGATTTTACTTAATGTCCTTATTGCACAGTTGAGTTTCACATACAGTGAAGCCAAGAATAATGCAAAACTTCAGTACGCTATCGACAGAATGTCAATTGTCACTCGACTAGAGCAAAGTACATTTGGAATTGTAAGTATACATATTAGTATGTTTTTTGGCAATTCATTTGTGGGCTTTAAGCCTGGTTTCCATGTAATATGGTCGTAAAAATAGAGCCACGATCTTTCTCAATGGCCAGTTTATAATAGTTTATACCTGTAAACCACATGCATATAAATCATAAGTATTCTCTATAGTTATATATTCACTCCGCGTATTTTCAGTTCTAAAAGGTTGTATTTCGGCTGATGAGAAAGATCGTGACTCAATCTTTACGACCGTTACGACCATAGATATCTTATATACACTAGATAGTGCGTCTAATTATTCTGCAATTCAAAAATTGAAGCCGTGATTGCAGACTCGGATATTCCCATGAAATGAGAAGACTCGTATGTTTTCTATTTCTTAAACAGGGAACTTAAACATTAAGTTAAACCTATTCCAAATACATTTTCAAACTATTCAAATGATGAAAGTTATTGTTGTTTTTTAAGCGTTTATTAGCGAGTGGGAAACTTCAACATGGCCGCCATCTATACAAATGGGGGTAACCGCTGGAATATTCTTGGCTTCAATTTTACTAAAAGAGATGCGCTATCTAGTGTATATAAGATATCTATGGTTACGACCATGTGGAAACCAGGCTTTAGCAAGGATTAAGCGGGGGCAGCAGATGGTGGTCAACGTCAGGAATGTTGGCGTTTATAGGAGCAACCAAATTAAATGTCTCATTTCTGTTTATTTGCCTCCAAATTCAATAATGCTATACATTCATTTCACACTGGTTGATCACCATCTTCTGCTTGACACAATGATAAAATCTCCTTGATAAAATTCAAGGAGCCATTGAGGATCGAAACTATTTCTGTGTGGTATTTCTCGACTTATCAAAAGCTTTTGACATATAGTTAACCACAATATGCTTCTACAAAAGCATGAATACTATTATAGTATTATATAGGTATTATTTTATAGTGGTTCCAGTCTTACTAAGCAATTTATATCGATAGAACACATAAATTTTGACCATACGCATGCATGCTAATACTCCAACACAACCAACCAGCCAACCGGTCCTTTCATGCGGCCCTTCGACCGCCACAGCCATGCAGCCCGCACCTATTTCAATTTCAAGTTTAAATCTACTTAATTCGTGTATGTAACAAATTTTGTGTCGTGTCATGTCCTGTCTTGACACAATAATATTTAGTGAAATCCTGACACAATTACAGATAAACTACGTGAAGCATTCCTCTTTTGAGTTGCTATAACCCATTTGGAATTTTCATAATTATAGCTTTGCAAATTTGAAAAACTCTTTGCAAAACCCTTGAGGGAATTTGTAATTGTTGCTTTGGGCTGTTGTAATATTCCAATGCAGAGAAACTCCCTCTTAAATTTTCCTAACTTCCTGTTTAACCCAATCACAACGCACAGCACAGAACAGAACAGAACAGAACAGAACAGAACAGAACAGAACAGAACAGAACAGAACAGAACAGAACAGAACAGAACAGAACAGAACAGAACAGAACAGGAAGTTAAGAACTTGTAACAGGAAGTTAAGAACTTCGAATTTTGAAAGTATGTTATCTCTTTATAGAATTTTAGAGTAAAGTATTACAAGGATGGTGCTCGAGTGAGTGAAAATGATCTTGTTAAAGGTAATAATAATGATACAAATTATTGTAATTCAAGTATACAGAACTACCTATGAGAACTGCCACGCTATATAGGGCCTGCTACCTTCTACTATAGTGTTTCATGATCCGAGATTTTTGGCCATTAAATTTCATGGAGAACTCTGGCATCACCTGAGTATATATATGTGAGAATAATTTCAAGCAGATAAAATTATCTGTGTGTTCTTTGGTAGAAATGTTGGAATACAGCGAAGAAAGACATCCATGGGAGTCAATGGAAGAGAAACTTACATTAGTCAGGTAAGATACACTGCACCCTCATCACCCTGTAATCTGATACTCCAGCTAAATTCAATTAAGGTTATCGCAAAGCCAAATATTTGCAACCCCACTGCCCCCAGCTCAGATATTATTGGGATGGTACACTGTTTAGTACATCTGCTTTTTCATCAATGCAACTGGCCTCTATTGTTGTAGACCTGCTGCAAATCTCATCTGAATTTTGTATTGTTCCGCTAATATTGTGCATAATAATGTGTCAATATTGTGCTAGTCTTAGAAACTAGGCGAAGTTTCCATATATTAACTTCACACCGACTTGATCTCGTGGGCATTAAGGCCTGATTCCACGAGGCGGAATTTTTCGACCGAAACGAAATTTCTCTTTGTCTTTTTACAATTAGTTCTGCTCAAGAGCTCTGAAACAAAGAGAAATTTCGATTCGGTCGAAAAATTTCGCCTAGTGGAAAACCGCCTTTTAAGGCCCGATTCCACGAGGCGGAATTTTTCGACCGAAACGAAATTTCTCTTTGTCTTTTTACAATTAATTCTGCTCGAGAGCTCATGAAACAAAGAAAAGTTTCGATTCGGTCGAAAATTTTCGCCTAGTGGAAAACCGCCTTTAAGGCCGGATTCCACGAGGCGGAATTTTTCGACCGAAACGAAATTTCTCTTTGTCTTTTTACAATTAGTTCTGCTTGAGAGCTCATGAAACAAAGAGAAATTTCGATTCGGTCGAAAAATTCCGCCTAGTGGAAAACCGCCTTAAAGGCCTGATTCCACGAGGCGGAATTTTTCGACCGAAACAAAATTTCTCTTTGTCTTTTTACAATTAGTTCTGCTCGAGAGCTCATGAAACAAAGAGAAATTTCGATTCGGTCGAAAAATGTCGCCTAGTGGAAAACCGCCTTAAGGCCGGATTCCACGAGGCGGAATTTTTCGACCGAAACGAAATTTCTCTTTGTCTTTTTACAATTAGTTCTGCTTGAGAGCTTATGAAACAAAGAGAAATTTCGATTCGGTCGAAAAATTCCGCCTAGTGGAAAACCGCCTTTAAGCCGGTTTTCCACTAAGCGGAATTTTGCACGCGGAGCGGAATTTTTCTTTGTCTTGTGATTTCTCGGGTGGAACTAATTAGAAAAGACAAAGAGAAATTCCGCTCCGCGCGCAAAATTCCGCCTAGTGGAAAACGGCCTTTAGACTAGCAAACAAAAAGTCGCGGGTTTAATTCCCACCGCAGTCAAGCAAAATTTTCAGCTTGCCCGGTTTGGACACTCTCAGGGTGGATCATCTTCAATATATCTATTCCCGAATACGTACACCTCGATTATTACACTGTAAATTTGTAAAAGTTGTGTTAAACCATATTTTATATTTCCTTTTTTTCGTTACATATTTTTTCAGAGATTTAATGAGGAAAGTAATACGAAAAGTGTCGGACAAATTCGACTAACGAGGAACAGAAAAGGACCTTATTACCAAGCTACATGTATTCGTTTTCAAACTGCGGTTTCTGAGGCTATTCCAGGTTGCTGAATGTTAATCACGAATAGGAACTATAGTTACTGTATATGCCTATTACTTTCTCCGGAGAAACCTGATGTTTAGGATTTTGAGTTGGATTTGGGGACATGCATACATGCAATATAGCTTTTTTTGAAAGACATATATGAAGTAGTTGCCGACGACATTTTCTCTGGCTTGCTGTACCTGTGGCCACCCTCTTGCTCTCTATATAAGATGACTGTAATTACGCGAAGGTATAGATCAGTGAACTCTATAAATATACTGGAATGATAACTCGAGATCTTGGATAAATGGCCATACGATTGGGTGAAACCAACACGGCGGCCAATGGAGTGATTTCTTGTAGGTATAAAACACGCGTGTACTTCGCGCGGGAGCTGAAAAATGACTATTAGGTTTTCCACTCGATGTTTTTGAATTTTTGCACGTAAAAACTTATTTTTAGCCGTAAATACCTCACTTAAAAGTTAAAAACTAAATGTATTTTGGTCCAACTTATTATGTGTTCAGTTCAAATCCCTCATAGACAGTCAAAAACAAAAGTTTTGCTGGTGATTCCCCCGGGTGTTTTTTAACTTGTTTTTCACACGTCAGATAACTTTGTTTTTCATTGATAATGTAAGGCCATAATAAAAAAATGAAAATGAAGAGAAAAAAAGTTAAAAAGTATGAAATTATCATGTGAACGCAGACAAAAAATTTTAACTAAAAGCTAGCGAAAAAAATAAGGTGAATAAGTTGCATTAGGCTTCCAACAACGAGCCAGTGGTCTAGTGGTAAAAACTACACGCTGTGTAATGTACCATTGTGGTTCAAGTCCTACAAAAGTCATATTGTGACTTCAAATTTTGTGTCTTCGTGCTTTGAAGAATGACTTAGCCTCCATTGAATACAAAAATACCCAATTTCAAAATTAACAAGAATGACTTTATTTAAATTTCACAACAACAGTAATGTTTAATCAAACCGCCACACTTCTCGATCACCTCAATTAAGGGCATCGTCTGCTCACCTGCAGAGTTATAGGGAGTTTGGCAAATACAACGGCAACTGTCATCAATAATAGCATTGATCCTCAAAGGCGAATGTAAATTACATGGTCTTAAGCGTTGTACAATGCCGTGGTTGTTGAACTATACTAGTACGTGATTTGCATCATTTTCACGGTGCATGACCACGGCAACAGTTAATTTGTTGCATGTTATTTGAGGTGTTTTATATGAATTCGCAGACTATTTTTACTTAAGGGCTGTTTGAGAAAAACAGGAATACTCAAAGAGGCAAATTAAGTGCAGTAACGTATACTAATAACGTATGCTCAAAAGCAATGGACCTTTTCTCTAATGAACAAAATTTTGATCTAGACAAAACTTTATCACACCTGGAAAGAGCATCACAAAATTAGTAATATTGCGAAGTTTCGTTGGGAAATGTTGTAAAATGCGGATAATATAGTCCTACGAAGTTTGTCGTTTTTCAGTCATTTTGTATTACGCACGGGAAATTGATACCTTTTTTCAGAAAGCGGTAATATTAATCATTGGGACAATGATAAATATTTTCATAAATTCTGATCCTGATAAAGGCACAAGAATATAATAAACAGGTTATCATAATCGGGACGAGGCGATATCAGTTTTATCACTTTCAGGACGATATCATAAATGTCCCCCAAATGAGAAAACTGATATAGCATCGCCACTCATATGATGACCTATACTTATTCTTCATTTCTTGTTACATACGCATCTCTGTTTGGAGTAAGAGAATTGCCTACTTGCTACACTGTTATTTGCCCCAGCAGCTGAATGCTCAATGGACGTTCACAATGGTCACAGAGTTGTAATTAATATTCTCTTTCTAACAATTTCTTAGCAATTTTAATAAATATATTAGAAATCTTTACATTGTCGGTAAAATTAACTTGTGTATTCAAAATGTATACATAACGTTATATGGGTCCATTAATCTCACCTCTCTAAGCAGAGCACCACTGCTCATTAATGAGGCACTTGTGTTAGTCAGCGGTTGATAGCGTAAAGTATCTATGTCTGGTCTGGAAATTCAAGCTTGTACGTCTCCCGTTGCCTTGTTTCTATACCGAATTATGCCACAGAAATTGAAATTCGAACAATTTCATCCGTTTCCTAGATTTTGCCCAGATTCCAAAATCAATGGTGGTAGGCTTGCGATTGAGAAAGTGTTTCATTTTCTAGTTGTTTGAAACTTGAAGGCGTTATACAACATTCGTAAATTTTGCTCAGGACTTCGACGACGACGAAATACTCTTTCCTCGCAATTATTCGCTATACAACTCCACTTCCACATAATGCAATCGGTGCAAGCATTGACTGTCGCACAGCGGTCCATACAGGCTGTGAAATATGAATGGCATTTTGTCAGATAACAAGTATTTGCTTCAGCCAATCTGTGGAAAGATGTAGACACCAACAAAGCCATGACGATACCAGCAATTATCATAGAGCTCTTCATTCTGTTAGGGAATAAAGAAAAATGTTAAGAAGAGTTTACATAAAGGAGAATAATTCGGAATTCAAGATTAGAAAAATTCAAATTAAAAAAATTGCAAATAGTGCAATTGATCTTTGAAAATCGGACACACTTGTGATGCGATGTTTTATGTGAATTTGGTTTTATGTAAATATATTCTCGAAGCGAGTTTGATTCACTCGCGAGTGTTTTCATGCACTCAAATTAACATAAGTTACGCTTTTTGGGCCTTGCTATCTTGCATCCTGCAATCTTTTTAGGGAATCTAAAATTTTCTGTTATTATCGTTAATGCTGTTCCACATTTTTATCCCACGAACATTTTTCCCACCACAAGGACATGGAATAAATGGGAATGAAAAACATGCTGTCCATGTTTAGGTAGCTTACTACAGATTTTCCGAAATCGAAAAGTACTAGATGTTATTTTTCAAGATACTTAACCGCTTTAAATGTTCGCATAATTTCTCAAATAATTTTTATGTAGACCAAGTTCCCTCGAACTTCAAATCGTGAGGGAAGTCGTGCGACCACATTAGCATTCGCCATTGTTATAAATAAATTGTCTCATCAGATCGTGTGTGCATGCAATTAGCCTTTCTCACGATGACGAATATCCGCCATTTTTGGGTGGCATCAAATTTTCATTATCCAATGCAGACAATTAAAACAATGTGAAAAGCGATAAACTAACCATTTACAAAGCAAATTTACCATCATTCGTCCAAAAAATTATAAAAAGTCGCTGTTATGTGGACTTATCGCACAGACTTCAACTGAAATGCCACCCAAAAATGGCGGCGTGAGAAAGGCTAATTCTCGTTGGCGGAAAGTACGAAATTTATTTCAGTTATTTAATTTGGTAAAGACTCGACAAAAGAAGGGAGCGTTCAGAGTCCAGGGGCCAGTTGTATAAAACTCTTAATCACTTTTTTAATCACTATTTTGTAGGTACTATTTACAACATGAGCGGCCGTGTTGTAATTTTAAAAATAAACGTTGTCTAAGTCGAGAAAATCAAAGTTAAAGTTTATAAATTATGTAAATCAACATGAATCTGTATCACATATACAGATACGACATGCTTATGATTTTTCTTTGTGTTTTATGTAAGAGTTAGATACCGAAAACGGAGGCTCTTAGTCAGATACAAACCCGAGGGGCCGTAGGCCCCGAGGGATTTATCTGACTAAGAGCCGACGTTTGAGGTATCTAACTTAGTTCATATTTGTAAGGATTGACCCACAATGAAATTTACTTTATGATATGTATTGTTCTTTAAATGAGTTTGAATTACCATGGTTGTAATAAAAACAAACAGGGCTATTTTGATATGCATCAATTCTCGTGTCGCACTACAGGGTGTCTCAAAAAAACCCAAAATCATTGAAATAACGTATTGTTCGAATTTCAATGCCGTAACACAAAGGATTTTGACAGGGTGATTAATTTGTTTTAAAAAATTAAAATATCTTTGTAAAGTGAACGTTTGTTTGCTCATGGGAATTTAAAAATGCTTCGTAAATTGTAATATGCGTAATATGCATTCGTGGGTTTAGTACTTTATGCCTGACATAGCAAGTTTACGCTGAGTATTACCATTCATTATAGCAGTTATGTCAATCTTTTATGCACTCGTGGGATTAACTTAGTGCTAGGGCATTGAATATCGAACAATACGTCAATTTCAATGATTTTGGGGTTTTTTTGAGACACCCTGTACTGTATACTATCAATGAGAAGTGATTAAATATTCGTTCACCAACCACAATTACGATGAAATATGTTTGAAATAGCTCATACAACCGAGAAGAGCTAACGAAGATTTGTACGGGTTTGTCGAAGCAGAAATTCTCAAGTTGTTCTCAACAGGGTTTTATTTGCAGGATAAAAACCAAATGGGAGGTCTTTCATTGAGATTCAAGACCGAGGCGTGCAGCACCGAGGCTTGAATTTCAATGAAAGACCGACCATTTTCTATTGTCCTTGGGAGGTTGTGGGACGAAATAAGGTTGAACATGCGCATTAAACACGCTTTAATGTGGTTGAGCATGCGTAGTATATCATTTCGCGTCCCACAAGCGAAAGAGCAGATATTACTGTATAAATTGCACAAGCAAGTTTGATGGTCGGTTCAGCTAGTCCTCGTGCACCGAATGATAAATATTCTACCCAAAGGTAGAGTTTGACGGGCTTTGAGGTACACGGCTGTTGTCTCTTTCTCGACTCAGAGACGTGCAGCGTTTTCTAGTCGAAAAGGAGATGTGGGGTTTGAGTTTGGTTAAAAATTCAAGGTATCTAACTCCATAGTGACCTCCAAAAGGGGTCACTATGGAGTTAGATACCTTGCATTTTTAATTAGGCATTCAATTCTATTCATCAACCCCGCTTTTCCCTGTGGAGATATCAAATCCCTCCCCTTGCTTTTAGATTCTTACCCAAATAAAACCCTATTGAGAACAATAGATATCCGCACAAATATGAACTAATATGAACTATTACTGAGTTTTAATTAAATAGTGATTAACTCTCAAATACGCGCTTCTTATTGGATGACGTTTCCACTAACTACAGTTAACTTTAATCACTTTGTCATACAACATGCCCCAGATGGTTTCAAACTGCAATTACCATCTTCTGTTTCGCTCTCTCAGAGAAGCCCTGCAAATCGCAAAGTGTTTCGAATAGGCTTACATGCAACTGCCTCTAAATCTTCACCGCGAAAAGCGCTGTTTTCTTCAGTGCAAGAACAGAGTCAACATCAACCAAAAGATAATTTTCTTGAGGAACATAATAACGTATCAAATCTGTTTGAAATTAATGAAACTCGAGTAAAGGTTACTAACTTACTATAGCTAGTTTACCCAAGTGGTAATGTTGCTATTCCAACACTTCACGACAAGCAATCCCCGTTGGCATAACGGAAAAAACATCTCTTCCTTCAAGTAAACAATAAACAGTCTGTTCTTGTTCTATTTTTAATCGAAAAAAGTGATCAGATCCAATTTTAAGCTTATCGAGAGCCTTTGGGATGAATCACTGATCGAATTATAGAATCAAACAGCCAATCAGAATGCTGCGTTCGTGGGCGAACGCGAAAAGTGCAAAATACCGGGTCTTCCTTGCAGGCCCACTACTCTTCCCTCGGTGGGCCTGCACGCGGGCTATAGTTATAATGTACACTAAATATTTTGTTTTGTGTAAATATTGTACTATTTTTTAAATATATAACTATTATTCGGTGTAAACACACAGACGAAAGTCTGCACTAAAAATGTAGAATTAGCCTTTTTAAAGCACTAGAATTTAATATATCGTAGTAGTAAGTCTAAATGTGTGAATTGACTATACCTATTACAAAAGTCAAAAAGCGCTTTTGCATGCAAGGGAGTTTATACTCCCATGCTGATCAAATTCTAAAGCCGTTTCTCAAAAAAACTCTTCGGTGCTCCATACCTGCAGTCTATATATAGTGAATGAATCCGAGAGATGAACAGTATACACCAACGATCAATTTCAATAGAATTTGATTCGAAGTCTTAGCTTTAACCACAAGTTGGATCAGTGTACAAGACTATACCTCAAGTATACTATATGTGGTTGAGCAAAGCTCCCTTTATATATGTGTGCCAATGAAGACATACCACATGATCACATTGACAAAACGAATAAACAAAGCATTAAACAATAGCAAATTATATCGAAACACACTTAAGCATATGATTACACATCCGTTGTTGTGAGAAAACTGACAATACTGATAGTCTATTGTTAAGACTATATCAAATTGCCCTGAAGTAACATAATGAAAATTCACTTGTGCGCAGCCTAGCCCCCAAATCACCTCCGCCCCGCCCCCAAATCACCTAGTCCCAGTCTTTTCATGTGAAAAAGCGCTGAATATTAAAAAAATATAAATAAGACTAGAAGGCCTAGGTCTAGGCTGACTTGTGCGAACTAAATTCGTTTGGGCATCGATCAGGCCTGGAAAATAGTTCCCTTCTTGGCACACTCCAAAAGATACTCTGGTTAAAATTCCTGGTTTATAATATTTTTAGTGATAAAGATTGATCTGCACACCGCGCAAAAAACACGACTGAAAGTCAAACGACAGCTAATTATTAGTGTGCAGCGAAAATTCAGTCTAACATATGAATTTTGAAACTAAGTTTATTAACGTTGTTGTCAATGTTATGGCTGTTTTAAAATTAGGTCTGCTTCACCCTATAAGCCATTGAAACCATGCATCAGTTGTATATTCCCTCCTTTTGGGGTGGACTCTTTCTCCCTTGTATTTCTATAAAACAATCTTATTCTTATGCATACGGACATGAATTGTGCCGAAGAAAAGTGGATGCGCAATAG